TGAACACAGTGAGGAATGTCGATGTCCCCTACGCATGCCCTGGAGCCACTGTCCACTCCTAAACCTTTAGCAGGTTTCCATTTCCCGAGGGATCTTTCCTTTGGTGTTTAAGGTCCCTCTGTCCTTCTTTTCCACATTTCCCCAGTACATACCTCCAATCTCATCAGCTGCCCAGAGTTAACCCTTACCAAGACTATTAGCCTCCACTCACACTGATCCATCTGTCCCCAGGAAAGCCTTACTCTCGCCTTCTCGTGTTCCAGAACCCAGGGCATCCTTCATACCCATGCAGCCTGCATCAGGCCCCTGTGTTTCCAACTCTCCGAGATCTCTCCACCGCCGGCAGTCACACCACCCCCATATGTCCTTCAGCGGGCAGTTATCCCAGACTTGTATTTGCTATTCTGTCTTGTCTCCCCCAGCTAAGTTATGGCTGCCTGAGGATTGCTATCTCGAAGGACAGTTGGCATGTTTTTACAGAGGACCGACCTGAGACAATCTACTTAAGACTCCTATCCCGTCAGCCAAGCGCACTCTCCAGCTCCACGTTTTAGAGCCTAAATGGTGCGGACCATAGAAGCCCCAAGACTTCAGTGGAATCTCTGGTATCTCCAAGTCACTCTTGCTGCTGATTCTGAGTCACCACTCATCTGTGGTGGCTGCCAGCCTCACTTCATGATTCACGCTCTAAAAGTGGGGTGAGGTTTTGACTGAGGAATTGATTCCAGTCTGAGCCTAGCCTCACAATTACTGGGTTCCTCTGTGGGTTTTGAGTAACTCGCATAGCGCTTCTCACGACAAGTACCTAGAAGGCATTTCACAGGATATGCTGGGACATTCCCTGTAACAAGTATTCTGTCAGTCTTTCCTTGGACTGTTCAGTATTGACATCTGGCTCATGCCTGACCTGGGATGGATGAGCTAAGGAAGAGCAGAGAGTTCCCAGGGGCCCCTTCTTCCATTTATTCTTGCTGAGTGATGGTTTTGGTTTCTCACGCAGAATGTGCTTCTGTCTGAAAAGAGGAAGCTGACCTTCTGGGCCCCGGAACCAAGCACTTATCTCTACTTAGCATCTGAGAGACCTGTTCTCTCAGCAAACACAATGAGGGAAAGAGGAAATCACTGGAAGAGGACACATCAGTGGCAGAAATAGGGCAACTCAATAAGTCTGTACTCTAATCCAAACACTTTTCCCAAAGAGCTTTGCCACCTTGGCTGAGACTCGGAACAACTGTGGTGATGACAATAGCGAACGCTTGCATAGGGTTTGGAGCGGAGCCTAGCCCAGAGTAATCCCTCTGTAAGGTCACTGAAGATGGACCCTTAAAAGAAATCCCACACTAGCTCAGAATTGAGAAATAGATGGTTATTTATTTAGGGGTAGACTCACAAATCAGAATCCTCTGCTTGAACGATGATCAGAAACCGAATCCCACAGCCGGAAAAGAGACCGGACGCATGCCCTACATCAGCTTATATAGTATAAGCGACCACGCCTCAGTGGGCGGGTAACCACTGGCTGTAAGACTTCCTACAGCAGGTCACCTGATATTGTCGTTGTCACTTATTTGTTTCTTTCCAAGACAGAGTCTCATGTAAGCCCAGGCTAGTCTCAAAATGTATGTATGTAGCTAGGGATATTCTCGAACTTCTAATCCTCCTGCCTCCACCTTCCGAGTGCTGGGATTGCTGGTGTGTGCCACCGTGCTCACAGTGGGGTTGAGTCCAGGGCCTTGTGCATGCTAGGCCAGCAGTCCACCAGAGGCTCAATAACTCCAGCCTACCCTTCTTGTCAGTACAGGGGGCTTAGTATGCCCACTACTAAACATCAGCAGCGTTCATGATCCCACTGAGTGCTCTGAATGGTGAAGTGAGTTTTGTTCTTTTTGGTGTACAGAGGTAAACTGGGACTTAAGCAGCTTGAATGATGAGTTCAAGCACTCGTGCAGGCTAATTTTATCTCAGCTTGACAAAGCCTAGAGTCATCTGAGAGACAGGAACGCCAATTAAGAAAATGTCTTCCTAGGATTGGCCTGTGGAGCACTTTTAAATTAGAGATTGATGGGGAGGGCCCAGCCTATTGTGGGTGGGTCCACCTCTGGGCAGGTTGCCCTGGGTTCTATAAGAAGCAGGCTAAGCAAGCCATGGAGAACAAGCTTGTAAGCAGCATCCCTCCATGGCCTCTCTGCATCAGCTCCTGCCTTCAGGTTCCTGCCCTGTTTGAGTTCCTGCCCTGGCTTCCATCAGTGCTGGACTATGACCTGGAAGTGTAAGCTAATTTAACCCTTTCCTCCCAAGTTACTTTGGTCATGGTGTTTCATCACAGCAACCGTAGCTCTGTCTGGGACAGCATTCAGCTCTGGACTGGGCCATGCAATGGATTAGCAGATAAAGGCACTTGCCACCAATCTGCTGACCTGTGTTTGATACCCGGAACTTACATAGTGAAAGGAGAGAACTGATTTCTGCAAATTATCCTCTGACCTCCACATGGTTTGCATGCACACACATACATAAATAAGTGTGATGTAAACACACATTCAGGGGCTATGCTATTAATCCTGAAGAGCCCACCTATTCTTAGGGTTCTCTGCTCTTTTTACCTTTTATTTCCTTCTCCCTATCCATCCCTCCAGGCCTACTTATCCACGGCTTTGGCTAGGCTCACCCTTGTGGGATAAACTCCCACGGAGCCGTGACGTGGCGTGTGTCAGCACATGCCTTGCATTGTGGCTTTCTGTCTGAGAGGCGCAGTGGGGTTCGGCTTGACATCCAGAAGATGAATCTGACTCTTCAATTTTGCTTTCTTTTCCTGGCTCACAGCCATTACCACACTGAGTGACACTAGCCTTGACGTTGATGGGGCTAGAAAGAAAAAAAAGTTCACAGGCTGCTACTCATGAGGACCAGTCCTTTGAGTTAAGACCTGGGTTAGGACGGCAGCCTTCTCCAGGCTGTTCGTACATGTCCAGTCCTGTGGCTGGTAAGGATCTCAGGGGAGGGCCTTGGAGTAGAGACTTCTGGACATTCCATCCTTCGTGCGCATAGGGTGTCCTGGCAGATCTCCATAAGGGGAGTTTGTCAGGAAATGTCAGTAAAGTTCCCTTGTAGTTGATGATTGTAACCTACTTTAGTTGCATGATAGTCTATAATATACTCAGTAGTGCTTTTTCGTGGCTGTGACTCAGATTACAGTGTTTTGACATTAGAGGACCTGGGCTCAGGGACTGGATTTGTCACCCAGCAGCTTCCATTTTCCAGTCTACCAGTTTGTTGTGGCTTCTATTTGATCTTTCTTTATATAGGAGGCTACCATGGAAACCGAGAGTCAATTGCCCTGAAGCCGTGAATTTCTTTGACTTAAAAAGCCTGGAAGAAGCGTGTTGGGAATGTTAGGGCCCATTTTAGCGTTGAATAAGTCACCTCATTTCTCTCTCCTCAGATATTTTTTTAATCAATAAAAGAACTATATTGTCACCTGCCCTAGTCATCTAAAATGGACGGTGAAGGGCTGGAGAGATGGCTCAGCGGTTGAGAGCAGTGACTGCTCTTCCAGAGGACCCGGGTTCGATTCCCAGCACCCACATGGCAGCTCACAACTATCTGAAAATGCAGTTCCACGAGATCTGACACCTTCACACCAATGAACATAAAGTTAAATAAAATCATTAAAAAATAATAAATAAAAATTTAAAAAAATAAAATAAAATAAAATGGACGGTGAAGGCTGTGAAAGCAACTCAGTTGGGAGAGTGCTTGCCTGCTATGCAGGAAGTCCTCTTAAACCGTGTGTACTGCTGTGTAATCGTAATCTCAGCATTCGGGGGTGGAGGCTAGAGGATAGGAAGTTCAAGGTCATCTTTGTCCATGTAGCTAGGTGGCCTCAGATATGAGACTGTCTCAAACAAACAAACAACAGCTGACCAGTATACTGAAAACTTAAGTGACGGGCAGTATAAAAATAGGTTTCTGAGGATTATAAATTTTATAGAAACAGTTGCTTTAAGAACTATAAAACAAACCTTTTCCTCACCAAAATCATCAAATGTTTTCTATTCTGATTTTTTTCTCAGTATAAAGTGTTCACTGTAAATAATAATGTAGAGCAAAGTTTTACTTCTACTGTTATTGTGAAGGCTGAGTTACGTCACTCTAGAAACCATCAGAAGAGTGTATTTGCTTAACAAGAACAATGGGGCCCGAGACAGACAGAAGCTCCTTTGTGAAAGCACATTAATTTTGCACCAATTCTCATTTTATCCATTCATCATAAGATCAAGAGCGAGGTTCCAGTTGTAAAAAGACATTAATAACATAAAGAAAATTATAAGCCAATTAAATAATCTTGAGCATTCACAGAACATAATTGCCTTTCAAGGAAGGATTTGACATTTATACACTAATTCAAATTGACCGAGATTGAAAATGTATTTAACTTGCTTTTTTATTTTTAATCAGTAAATCAAATATTCCCCAACCTCTTCCTTCAAATGAACAAGCGGTGACTCCGTTATTGTTTTGTGTTGTTTTGTTTTTTTCCTGATTGGTTAATCACGCTTGGAGATGCTATCTGGTTACAGCTGGGTTTCTGCCAGAGATTCAGATCAGACTCACAAAAAGGAACCTGCCTGAGGCAAGCAAGGGCTTCGGTTAAAACGGGAAGGAGCATGCTTTTATTTCACCATCTGGGTAAAAACCGGGAAAGCCTCTGAACAAGTTTTAATGCTTAATAATAACCAATAGCCTTCCATTATAGCTAACAGTGTTTCCGAAAGAGAATGGTTGGGGAAATCAGGGAAGCCAATCTAAAAATGCTAAACTTTGAGTGGTTATTAAATGAGTGATCTGACCTGACTCCTTATACAGGGATCTTGCTTCAATAGAGACGGTTTAGGAGAGAAAGAGAGAAACATGGCATGTTGGGAACTACCCGAGACCTCATCATGGTATTCAAAGCCCTAGGTCTTTGTGGATTTCAATTTCCTTTCTCATTTCAACAGATCTCTGCCTGGCAGATTGACCAAAGGCAAGGAGGACCAATCTTGACTCTGTTCTGATTGCTGGCTTTCACGGACGTCTGTGATAGATTGGAGGCCCAAGCTCGTGGTGCTGCTGCCCTGCTCTCCCCAGACGTCTTTCTGGGGTCTACTTGAGGTCAGCAGGGTGAAGATGAGCAGCCTTCTCTTAGCATGACGACCTTGGACCATGTCGTTGCTACCCACCAGTCGGAGTGGGTCTCCTTCAGTGAAGAGCCCCTGTTCCCTGTACCTTCAGAGGGTAAGGACAAGATTTTTTTTAAAGTGACAAGATTTGTGTCTGGTTCTTGATCATTCGTGGGTGGGATTTAAAAGGAAAAAAGAAAAAAGCCTTTTGGTCCCTTACCAGGGATGTGCATGGTTTCTTTCATTCAGTAGCAAGAGGAGGTTCCTTGTTCACATGAGACTGCACTACAACCCTGGAACACCAGTGGCGGGGGGTGGGCTTATTCCTTCCAGGAAACAAAACTTCTAATTGCATACTGCTTTCCTGTTGGCCATTTTGGTGGCTCCTCCCACCAACCCTTTGGATTTTTCTCAACTTTTAAAGTATAATTGCTCGAAGTGACAGACAGGTTCTGAGCCAGATTGCAGATCTCTAACCTTGGCATCACCACAGACGAATGGTATGTTCTGGGGTGAACGATGTACGTGTGGGGTGAGATGGCGGGTGTTTGGCATGTGCACATGCCGTGCCCATCTATGCCGAGGCTCGAGCAGGACTCAGGTGCCATCGTTCTCTGCCCTCTTGTCTTGAGACATGATCTACCAACAAAACAGAAGCCTGTGTGTTAGTGAAGCTGGCTGACCACAATCTGCTTGTCTTTACGCAACGCCGCAGTTATAGGCGTGTGCTGCCAGGCCTGGTTTATAGGTGGGTACCGAGGACTTGAACTCGGGTCCTCACGCTTGCACAGCCAACGCTCTTACCCACATCTTTCTGAAACTTTTTTATTTTATTTTTTTTTGCTTTGTGATTTGTTTCTGTTGTTGTTTCCTTTTGCTTCTTGTTTGAGACAGGGAAACCTGTGTATCCTGGCTGTCCTGAAACTCAATCCGTAGACCAGGCTGGCCTCGAACTCAGAGATCCACGTGCCTCTGCCCCTCCCCCCCAAGTGCTGGGACTAACAGCATGCCCCACCACACCCAGCTGGTTTTGTGTTTTAATTTTAGGACAGGTTTTTACACTATAATCTTGGCTGTCCTAGAAGTCACTGTAGACTAGGCTGGCCATGACTTCCCCAGCAGCTCTCCTACCCCCCTCTCTGGAGTGCTGCAATTACCACCGCTGCCTTGTCTATTTATAAGAGGAGTGATCACAGGCCCTGCCTCGGGAGCTTCTGCGAGCATTTAGTCAGCAGATGTAAAATGCCTGCTGGAGTACCTGGCTCACACAAGGAGCCGAGCATTGTCACAGTAGAAGTGACCACATTGCCCTGTAGGAGACTAGTGCTCCAGGGTGAAGGTCAAGGTAGACCCAGGGATATTTGCAGCACCAGGCCGGTTGGTTCTGCTCTGCTTCCCCTATGCCTACTGACCTTCACCTGCGCAGATGGGAAGTGGCAGTCAACAGGTATACAGCCCGTGTGGTCGCCATGTGGATAGTGAAGCCTTAAAATGTGGCAAATCTGAATTGAAACGTGGCCAAAGTGTCCTGTATGGAGATGTGCATTCTCTGAATGTCAAAGACCTAGTAAAGATCACATGTCTGGGGGGCTGGGAAGACGACTCACTCAGTGAAAGCGCTGGCTCTGCAAGCGTGGGGGCCCTAATTTCAAATGGCCAGGAACCATGCTATAAGTCCAGCATAGCTGTACACAACTCTAACCCCAGTCCTGTGGAGGACATGAAGTAGGATTGCTGGGAATGGATGGCTACCAGCCTAAATCCGGATCCAGTGAGAGACCCGTCTCAAGGGAATAAAGCAAAGTGTGATAGGAAAAAAATACTAGGTGAGCTCTTCCTGGCTGCCACACATGCATAGGCACATGTATGCACCTGCCCCCACACGTGTGCATTCAGCACAGAGACACACTCAAAACACACACACTCTCTCACACATACACACAGTTGTGTCTCGTCGTGGTATTTCATTTGTATTTTAATAAATCAAGCTTGCCTGAGGATCAGAAAAGCAAAGCAGCCACACTGGCCAGCCTTACAGACCAGGCAGCAATGACACACACCTTTAATCTCAATAGCCACACTAGCTTGCCATAGAAACCGGGCGGTAGTCGCGCACACCATTAACCACAGAACTAGAGAGGATTATAAAATGGGAGGAGACAGCTCTCAGTCTCATTCTGAGATTCCTGGAGGCAAGATGGTCTTTTTGGACTGAAGTATAGATAAGAGCCAGTGGCTGGCTGTTTTGCTTTTCTGACCTTCAGGCTGAACTCCAGTTTCTGTCTCTTGAGTTTTTAATTAATCGTGCTTCAGTATCTCATTAACAGTTTTTATTTGGTTTTTTTTGTTTGTTTGTTTTTTTTTTTTTGGCTTATGGAGACAAGTTTCTCTGTGCAACAGCCCCTGGTTGTCCTAGAACTCACTCTGTAGACCAGGCTGGCCTCAATTTCACAGAGATCTTCCCGCCTCTGCCTCCCCAGTGCTGGGATTAAAGGCGTGCGCCACCACCAGCTCCTTTTAAATGTGGAAACTAGAAAACTTAAGCTTATGTACGTGTCTCACCTTTTATTTTACTTAGATAGTGCTGGAGCCTTTGATTGTATAAAAGACACTATGATTATCTTATGATAGGAAAAAGGATTTTCAAATTATTTTTTTGACTCTTTAGAATATTTCATATATAGGCTGTGCGATACAAAAGCAGGTAAACTCTCATACAGTAAAATGGACATTGTTTGCTATGCAGTAGATGAATTTTAAAAACATGTATATATTTGTATATTCAACCACCATAATCAGTGCATATGCTTTATTGTGAAAAACAAGTTTTCTTTCTCCATCTTCCTGGACACAAAGTCCCACCCTTAGCCAAGAAGCCATTTGCAACTGTTACCTGCTGGGGAAAAAAAATCCATTTTCTCAATGGAGTGTCACTAGGTCTGTCAGTAACGCTCCACGCCCAGATGTAGCTGGCCTATAGAAAGCAGACTCTGTGTGTATGTGCGCATGAGCATTTTTGTTTTGTTTTGTTTTGCTTTGTTTTCCTGTTTCTATTTTGTTTATTTTGAGTCAGAAGGAGGAAGAACATGAACTTGAGTGGGTAGGGACCTTGGGAGGATCTAGGAAGAGTTTGGGAAGGAGAACAAATATCATCAAAATATATTTTATGGAAAAAATGTAATAAAAGTTTTTAAGGAACAAGTTTTGAAGGGCATTAAGCCTTTCAGGGCCAGTGGGACAACATGAAGAAAAGGAAGAACCCCAGTGTCAGAGCTGCCAGTGATTCGTGGGGTCTGCACGGGTTGCCTGCAGAGTAGCTTGTGCAGAATGGAGTTTCAAATTTGAATTTGAATTTCTTTAGTGCAGAGGGAAGCTCCACTATTTGGCTGTAGTCCCCAGCACCCTACTGCTTCTCATTTGTCCCCACTCGGCTCAGGAATATTTCTTGCTTGACCTCTATTGCCATTTGAATTTGTTTGCTCTCAAACTGGGCACGGAGACTGAGAGTAAAAATAATGAACAAGGGCTGGAGAGATGGCTTAGCAGATAAAGTGCCAGCTGTGCAAGCACTGGGACCTGGATTTAACCTCCAGTGCCCATGGAAAATTGCGAGCGGTGCGTGTGTACAGACAGCCCCAGCATTGAGAGAGGGGGAGGTACAGACAGGCAGAGCCCTGGGCTCACAGATCAGCCAGTCTAGCAGAATAGATGGATCCAGGTTCAGGGAAAGACCCTGTCTCAGAAAGTAAGGTGGAGAGCAATTGAAAAAAATCATCCTGGTATTGACGTCCAGCCTCCATAGGTGCATACACTATGCACTGGGCAGAGTACCCCCTCACATGTGTACATCGAATATGTCACCCCAAAAAGTAAAGAACAATCAAGGAAGATGCCTGACATCAACCTCCGCCACACACCCACACACACATACATCATATACACTCATACACACATAAATAAATACAATAATGGGGAATGTTTTTCTCAGTTCTCTGGGATAGTAACTAGGAACAAATGAGATTACAGGCTTTAAAAGTTATCAGGGACACAGCCCTTTAACACGGAGATGGATCGGCATGGCCATTTCATCTTCCAGTGAGTGTCATGTCACCCCGTCCCTTGGTTAGTCACTTCTGATTAGCATCCTTCCTTGCATGATGGTCGTGTTTGGTACCCTCTGTAGGGGCCACAGAAGAACACTTCCCAGGATCATCATCTTCCTCAGACCCGTCTGAGAGCTCCTCCGGGGAGAATCCTGCCGTGGATGGAGGCTGCCAGGACCTTTCCCACTCTGAGCAGGATGACTCCTCTGAGAAGATGGGCCTCATCTCTGAAGCGACCACCCCTCCCGGGAGCCCAGTACAGCCCACGCCTGACTTGGCCTCGGCCATCAGCAACTGGGTCCAGTTTGAAGATGATACGCCTTGGAGCAGCACCTCAACACCTCACAAGGAAACCGGTGAGCTGGGGAGGAAGTCAAGGAGGGGTCTGGCTTTGTACAGGCTGTTGAAGGGCTTTCCTGTGAGAGGTCTGTAAGGCTTCTAGGGCTCCAGATTTTTGAGCTTCAGAACCTGGAAATGTACAGGAGAGAGCAAAGACCCCATCTCTTTTCAACTCCATGACAAGGTTTTGGTTGAAATATGTACACAAAAGGATTGGATGCTAGGTCATTTTCATTTTTGTTTTGTTTTTGAGACAGCTCTCACTATGTAACCCTGATTGTCCTGGACCTAGCTCTATAGACCAGGCTGGCCTCAAACTCATCGAGATCCGCCTGTCTCTGCCTCCCGAGTGCTGAGATTAAGGGTGTGCATCACCACTACCCAGCATGAGTACCTATATTTTTATCTATTATCAGAAATTGAAATTACATTTACTCAGCTCCTGTATTGCAAGCTGTAGACACATAGGAATGAGTGTTTCTAACCTGTAAGTCACTGATCATCCCTAAACAGGGACCTCTGGCATCAGAGTCCTCAGGGTAGGAGATGGCCTTGAGTGGCAGAGATCTTATTTTGTTGCACTTAAATGTTCAGAAGCTGCACTGTGAACCTCAGAGAACACAGGGAATTGATCTCATCCCTACACATCCCCCAACCCACACCTCACTGTCCACCCTGACTCCCCATCCCCACCTAGTGACCTAGCCATTTACTGCGCTCTGTGCTCCAGTATATCAAGGATGGTTTGATAATCCTGTGTGTGTATTAGTTCTTAACTTACTGCTGTAACAAATGACCACAGACTTGGTGACTTAAACAGCGTGAGCTTATCACCTGTAATTCTGCCTTTCAGTAGTCTGACATGGTGTTCCTTTTTGTACATTCTAGGCAAGAATCGGTTTCCTGGTCCTTCATAGATTCCATAGGCCACCCAAGTTCTTTGACTTGGGACCCCTTCCTCTGTCTCCAAAGCCAGAGCTGTAGTATTATTCTGTGCCTTTATTCTGAAGTAATATCTCTCCAGTGCCCCCCTATTCCATTTTTAAGAACTGTTGTGGTTATGTTGGGCTCATATGAATAATTTCCCTATCTCGATGTCTCAGTTAATATTCTGTTGCTGTAAAGAGACACCATGACCACGGAAACTCTTATAAAGGAAAGCATTTCATTGCGGCTGGCTTACACTTCAGAGGCTTAGTCCATCATTGTCGTGGTACACAGGCAGGCATGGTGCTGGAGAGGTAGCTGAGACTTCTACATCTGGATTGGCAGGCAGCAGGAAGGAGAGGGACAGATGGGGGGCTTGGCTTGAGCATTTGAAACCCCATATCTCCCCCCCCCCCACTGATATACTTCCTCCAACAAGGCCACACTTCCCAATCCCTGTGAAGTCGCACCACTCCCTAAAGCCCAAACATCCAAATCCATGAGCCTGTAGGGGCATTCTTAATCAAACCACCATGTTCATGTTCCTCGTATCTGCTAAATCCCTTTGCCGTGTAAGGTAACACATTCACAGGTCTTGGGGGTTAGAAGGACATCTTATATGCAGAGGGTGGAGGACATCATCCTGTCTACTACAGAGTCATATTAGTAAAAAAACCAGAACTGCTATGTGTTTCTGTTGATGTGTTAACTGTTTTGCTAGTTTTACTTTTAAACATACCATCTGAAGTCAGGCCTAGTTGTAAAGCTTGGGGAAATTTAGAAAGACCCTGTCAATTAAAATAAAAGATGTAAAGGGCTGGTCGAGCACTGCCTCGCATACCTGTAGGTCTGCATGCAGTCCCTAATATTGGGAAGGAGGATTCAAAGGAAGCAGTGGTCGGAGCATGTGTGCAGTCTTGCTTGACACTGGATGCCATCTGAGCGCAGGAGTTTGAGATCAGTTTAGGCAGCATGGGAAGAACCTGTAGTGGCTTAAATTAAAGCTGTCCCCGATAGGCTCAGATATTTGAAAACTTGGTCCCAGTTTGGTGACACTGGGGAGGAACCTTTAGGAGGTGGAACCTTACCGAAGGAAGTACATCAGTTGGGGGGAAGGCTTTGAGAGTTCATTGCCTCACCCAGCTTCCAGTTTGTTCTCTCAACTTCCTTCATGTGGATGGAAGCGGAGTCTCTTGGCTTCTAGCTCTGACTCCGGCTCTGCTAGCTTGTCATCACCACCAGGGCGGATCCTGACCCCCTGGAACTGGAAGCCAAATAAACTTTCCTCCCTGAGTTGCCCTTGATCATAGTTTTGTTTTTGTTTTTGTTTTTTTTTTATTACAGCAACAGAAAACTAACTACTGAAGACATTTTAAAAAAGAGATTCCTTTTTTCTAACATACTTCCTTGTCATTAAAAATAATTTCCAGAAAATATACCGGTCTGGAGAGTTAGACAGTTCAGGGTTTACGAGCGCTTGCTGCCCTTCCAGAGGACCTGGCTTTAAATCCTAGCACCTATGTTGGTGACTCACATCTGTAGCTTCAGTTCCAGGGGATCTAATGTCTTTTTCTGGCTTCCTTGGGCACTGCATACCTGTGGTACACAGACATAAATGCAAGCAAAACACCTATACATATAAAATGAAATTAAGTTGAGTTATATACGAAAATATAAAGTATGATTCTGCCATATAACAGGTGTTTCCATTTTGACAGAATACCTCAAACATTTGGGTGTCATTTTTCATTTCTAATCACCAGGCCTTCAGCGATTTGTTGGTGATTGAGCCACGCTGTGTCAGATCCAGACTGGTTCTGGCTGGCTGGGGAGTGAGGGAGCCACTCTTAGTGAACCTCTGACACTGGCTCTTCAGCTCTCCATACAGGAAAATGATGGAACACGAGGGCTGTGGTTTGAATATTTTGTCTCTCCAGGATTTATGTTGAAATCTAATCACCAATGTTTTGGTATTATGGGGTCCTTTGGGAGGTGACTAGGTCATCTTGAGGGTGGACCCTTTGTGAAGGGGCTCAGCGCCCCTCCCCCACGGCAATGTTTGTCTTTTTGCCACGTGAGAACACCAGCTGCTGTCTGTACGGAATGGACCCTCACCAGGATCTTAATCTGGTATCTTTATCTTGACCTTCCCTTCCCAGCCTCCTGATCTGTGAGGATTAAATTTATATTCTTTATAAATTACTCAACCCACGGTATCATAGTATGACAACAAGAACAGAAAAGCCAGTCATATGAATCAGTACAAAAGTGTGACTATTGTTATTACTATTTATTTTGTATAAAGGATTTCATATAGTCCAGGCTAGCCTTTGACTGTCTATATATATATGTTGGCTAGCCTTGAACTTCTGATCCTCCTGCCTCCACCTCCACTATAGTGAGATTACAGACAGGCAGCACAAGCCTGGCCGGTCTTTACTTTTGGTCAGTTACCTCTGTGGAATGCCCACTCTTAGCACTTTCACTGAGTCACCGTGTATCCTTTACACCGATCCCATAAGGAAGGTTTTACTATGAAGTCCCTTTCTCTATGAGGACACCGAGGCAGGTAATGGTTTGAGAATTTGCTCCAGGTTAGGGGCTAAGAAGTGACAGAAAAGAGCTTTAACACCTGGTGCACCGGCCTCAAGGCCTTGGAGCAGCCAGCGCTGTGTTGTGGTGTTTGCCTCTTGCCTCACATTTCCTCCCACTGCCAGTGCTCCAGGGCCCCCTTCTCCTGAAATACACCAGAGGCAAGGGGAGTAAGGGGTGGGAGGCCAGGGCTGGAAGGTGATGGGAGGGCAGAAAGAACTCTCTTCTGAGTGTCCATGCCTTCCGGGCCTGGATAATATTCAAAGTATCCAGATCCTTTTGCTTCTTGTTCAGACTTCACGTTTAGCCTCTAATAGCTCAAAACAATTAGGGTGACAGATGGGGCAACTTGCCTCGACTCGTTACCACTTCCTTTGGTGAAGCTGATGTCGGACTTAGCCTTAATTATGTAGTTTCCATCCAGCTAAGGATCCTGAGTGGTTATTGACAATGATTTTGCTATAGAGTTAAGACTTTATTACCTGAAGCAACGTTAATAGCTCAGTTGGTAGAATGGGTGTCTAGCATGCATGGTCAGTGGGTTTGGTCACCACCTTGTAAAAAATGACTGTGCTAATTCACACCTCTAATCTCAGCAGTGGGGAGGTGAGACCAGAGACTCAAGGTCAGTGTCAGCTTTGTAGCAAGACCTGAGGTCATTCTGGGCTACTTGGGACACCATCTCTAAAAATTTAATAATACAAAAATATCCTTGGTGAACAAAATATTAGACTTTAAAGACAAAATCCAGCTCAGACATGTAAGACTACAGCTTTATTGAGATCAGCAAAAGGCTAATGTCTGGGCCCTAGTTTGCTGGTTTGCTTTGATATTTTTAAAGTATCACATTTATAACATGTTGCAAAGTATTGTTTTGATAGCTGAGATTTTTTTCGTACATTGTAAATTGTGCACCCAAGACAATTATTATCACCTGCTGTACCCTAACCCTAGCCTTTCGTTGAATTGAAGGTGTATTAGTGTCCGTAGAAGACAAAGCAAAAAGTTACAATTATGGAAGACTAGGTTTGTCTTGAAAATTGCTCAGATATCAATAATCCCATGCATTTCTGTGTCTGATGAATTCACTAACTCTGTGAGGATGGAGCCTAGGAAGAAGCTAGACTGAACTATGCATAGGACTATCTGGTCCCCTAAGACTCTATACAGAGCATTAGTCTTGTTTAAGAGCAAAGGATTAAGAAATCCAAGAGCCAGATTCTAAACCTGCCTGTGTGCCACTTGACCTTTGAGAGAGCACGCTAAATAAAAGGCTACAGGATGCTTTCTTGTCATCTAAACCATCCTTTTCCTCTTGGGCCTGCTCCCCCTGGGCTTCCTGCCTTGGGCTGTATTTAACAAGTAGGATGGCTGGTAGAGCTCACAACAAAAGAAAATGAAGAGAAACTGGCCATCAGTCCACTCAGTGTGGCCAACATAAACAGTCCACAGGTTAGACCTTCGTTCACTTTGGACGTTGGTGGATAGTGGATAGTGC